AAAAAAAAAAAAAAAAAAAAAAGCTCAGAGAAGCAGAGCATCTAGCCACAGTTGACCTCTACCAATGCTTAGATCAAAGAAGGCGATCCTATCTCTACAAATCCTCAGACTGCATCTCTAGACTGCAATGAGCTTCTCCTCCCCCTTATATTCCTCTCTCCACCCAGCCACATCACTCCTGTCTCCACCTCCCTAGTGCTGGGATGAAAGGCCTGTGATCCCTTGTGCCTTTGTGTGAGCTCTGCTTCTCTTTTAGACAATTCTGTGTAACCCAAGGTGGCCTTGAACTAATGGAGACCCTCCTGCCTCTGTCTCCCAAGTCCTGGGATTAAAAGTGTGAGCCACCATTCCTGCTACCACCCAGTCCTCTAGTGGCACTCTGATCTTCAGGCAAGCTTATTTTTAAAACACAAAATATCACTCCAAGAGGCCTTGGCCAACACCTAGCCACCAGAAGAGGTTCCTGGCTAGTGCCAATCCTTCACTCCATCTCAGAACATTTCAGATGGCTGAATCCTGAAGCCAGTACAGACGATAAGAATGACAGACTGTCAGGACAAGAGCTCATCTTAGCTTCTTCCTTAGAAGCTTTTGTTATTTCAGGGTTGTCAGAAATGGGACAAACACGAAACATAGTTATTTCTTTTTTTTTTTTTTTTTTTTTTTTTTTTTTTTTTAAGATTTCTTCAGTCATTTCAAAGATGCCTAAAGCAGATCTCTACATTTTGGAAAAATCAGGCCCTTCCATTCAGAATACATCTCTGTTTCCTATACTGCTGCACTATCTTATCACAGAAGCCATGCTGTATGCCTTACTCAACAACACTTTCACCAAGGATGGCCAGCACCGGGTGTTGAGCATGAATCGGAATGCTGTGGGCAAGTACTTTGACCTGATGATCGGGGACACAAGGACTAGTGGGCGCCAGCTAGTGAAGCAGTTCCTCTCCGAGTCTGTGCTGAAGGAGAAGCCTCGGGTGTTCTTCCCACAGGAGCGAGTAGTGCGGTACAGACAGAAGATCCTGAAGGACACGCACCACATCGAAGAGTTATACGATTCACTGTTACAAGCTGTCGCCTTTCACGAGTTAGCTTTTGGCAGAGACCCAGAGCGCAGATGTTAATGCACTTGCTCTAGGTTATATTAATTTATTAAACCAACTGTTCCCAATCTCCATGTTAGTGGAGAAGAAAACATTTTGAGTATATTTTCTATGTTTATAAAATGAGGTTTTTGGTTGTGAAGTAGTAATCATGAGCCAAGACCAAATCAATAAATATTTTATGAAATTTTGTGCCTTCTGTGTTTAAGTTTTGCCACCCACATAGCCAAATGTTGCCCCCATTTAAAGGCAAGTACCAGGCCATTAATAGCACTTAGGCTTTTCCAGAGGGCCCTAGTTTGGCTCTTACCCCCACTGCAGGTGCTCACAAGTTCAGGTCCAGAGACCTGTGTGTGTGTTTGGTCTCCTTGGGCTCCTGCATATACACTTACACATAGAAAAAAAAAATAAAGCAACTGTTTAAAAAAATAAATTTAGGATGGGCTATGGTGGCACATGCCTTTAAACCCACTTGGGAGGCAGAGACAGTAACTTCTGGAATTTGGGACGATTGGTCTACAGAGTGAATTCTAGGACAGCCAAGGCTACACAGAGAAACCCTGTCTGGAATAAAATTCCCAAAATAAATAAATTAAAAAATTAGTAAGAGGCCGGGCGATGGTGGCACAGCCTTTAATCCCAGCACTCGGGAGGCAGAGGCAGGTGGATCTCTGTGAGTTTGAGGCCAGCCTGGTCTACAAGAGCTAGTTCCAGGACAGGAACCAAAAAGCTACGGAGAAACCCTGTCTCAAAAATCCAAAAAAAAAAAAAAAAAAAAGTAAGAGGAAGAAGAAGCTGAGCGGATGGTTCTACCTGTAACCTCTGCACTCAAGACAAGCAGTAAGGTTGTGTGAGGTCAGTTTGGGACTATAGTGAAATTCTGTCCCAAATTCTCTGCCCTCACCCACCCCCCAAAAAAAGGGGAAAAAAATCCAGGTGGTCAGGTTGGGGCTGTAGTAGGCTGGTAGTAAACTGCTTGCCTAGGTATGGGAAAAAAACCTATCAAGCAACAAACTCCACCCAGCCATGGGCTAGTTAAGGAGGGAGTCTGGATAACTTGAACAATTTTATGTAATTATTTTATATTGGTTCATCAGTTATTGATGGTCAGAGTCCCTAATAATAAAACACCTGGCCAACAGCTAAGCAGCTCCAGTAGACACTGCACGGCAACACAGATACAGACATTTGAAAGCTTCAGGACCTGGAGAGATGGCTCAGCAGTTAAGAGCACCTGCTGTCCTTGGAGGGGTCCAGTTCCCAACCCCCACAAGGTAGGCAGCTCACAACCATCCTTACTTAACTCATTCCAGGGTATCCAATGGCCTCTTCTGGTCTCCTTGAGCACTGCAAGCATGTGGTACACATACGTACATGCTGGCAAAACATTATACATGTGAAAAACCAATCTTTAAAAAGCTTTGAGTATATTTTCTTGTTTGACAACCTAAGTTATAACATTTATCTGAATGCATTCAATATAATGTACATTAAGAAGATAATAACTTTAAATACCACTTACTGCTTTTAGATTTAACTTTTAATTAGATTAATTTGCTAATTATACAAAAAAGGTAGGTTGAACAAGAGGTAAAAACATATCTTCACATACATTTGTAAACAGGTATGCACCTATACTTTAAAAAAATACAAAACTAGGATCCTTAACTTTTGAGTTAAAAAATAATTCATCAAAAAATGTACCTGAATATTATGTTATTATACAAGTATGTGTAATAAGAAGCAATTTTAAACATACCTGATTATCTGACTGTAAAAATAACATTAAGTAAAATGTGACATTTTAAAATCTTGCCACTAAAGTAAAAATACACAAAAAAGCCCAAAAACCAAACAAACAAACCACTGAAAACACAAAAACTGATGACATTCCTGCGTAGTCCCAGGAAGCTGAGAAAAGAGGAACATGTAAGTCTGGAAGTAGTTTAGAGGCAGCATAAGCATTATAACCAGACCTTGTCATCTCCAAAACAGGGTGGGAGGGTCTAGCTCAGTGGTGAAGCATGTCTGTAGAATGTACAGGCCACGGTTTGTTCTGTAGCACGGCAAATAATTACAAAAACGAGACTCTGTATGTACTAAGACATAGGACACTTGCCCACAACACAGAAGACCTCAAGTTTATCCTTAGCACCACAAAACCCAAAACCAAACTTAAATGGAAACAGCTGCTAGGCATAAACCCCATGGTGATGCCTTCATTATTTCTTCATCAACAACTTGTCCAGAATAGATAAATTAATGTCATTACATTTATAAAGAAAACATGATATAAAATGTACAATGATTTGGGTTGGTAAAATGCACAAGACTACCTACATGGGGTGATAGGAAAGGTTTATGAAAACTAGAATTCAGAATGCTTTTCTTTGCCAACACAGATGATTCATTGATTCAGTGGTAAAACATGCTGGAGGAGGGCACAAGATGTAAAAGCAAGAGGAAGTACAACCCTTTCCAAAATATTCATAACTTTATTCCTAGCACATTTAAAAATTATTCTGTATGTAACTCTGTTTTATACTATGTAACGTTTAGGGACCGCAGGCTAGGTGCTTCCTATTTATGGTGGCTCTGATGCTGAAGAGCAGAGGAAGGGAACGAGGAAAGGGAAGATTACAATGAGCTCAGCACCGACACAGCTTTAGAAATCTACAGATGGTTTACACACAGAGAAAGCATACCAACCAAGCGAAAACAGGTAATACAAAACATTCAGAAAAAAATAGGACAATCATATATACAGTTTGTAACCCAATTTTTTTCATTTTAAATAGTTGAACCACAAAAATACAAAGTTTTAAAATTTACATTAAGAGAAATAATCTCTTCTTTAAAGTTACCATATTCTAGTGTGTCTTAAGGACCACATCATCTGTACAGGACACTGAAGACGAGGAGCATCAAGGGAAGTCTGCGGCCAAAGCAGTCACAGCCTCTTCTGGGATATCAAGATGAATTCCTTCAAAGTAGTGCAGAAACCTGTCAAAATTATAAAAACAATTTAATAGCAGTGAACATATTTATTAGTCTTGACATATCTACCTAAAACACTACTTTTTTTTTAGACATTTACCTTCTTTTATTTCTCCCTTGTTCCTTTAGCTTCTCTGTCCGACAAATGTTCCGAAGAGTTGGTAGGTAGTCAGTTATACTAGCTTTATTACCCACACTCAGAAGAGACCGACTGGAAAGCACTTTTTTAATGACTGCCACCCTCTTGTCAGTATTGCTACAAATTAAGAGAAAGGATAATTTTTTTTTGTATTTGTACATAAAAATGTAACAACCCCAAATTTAGCTAGTGTTTCTGCTTCTGGTCTAGACCAAATGACACTTCTAATTTGCTATCAACAGCATCAGTCACTCTATATGCCCAGAATGGCCTAGAACTCTACATAGCTCAGCCAGACTTCAAACTCAGTCTCCTACCTCAGTCTCTGATTGCTGGGATTAATATTGCATCACCACATTCAACTCCATATTGACCTTTTGTTTACAGATAGGATCTCATGTAGCTGGGGCTGGCTTCAAACTCTTGATCCTTTTGCATCCACCTCCCAAATGCTCTGATTACCAACATGTGCCACCACCATGCCTAGTGTCACATATCTTTTATATGTGTACTTATTTATATACGTGTGTGTGGTGTCACATATCTTTTATATATATACTTATTTATATACATGTGTGTGTAGTGTCACATATCTTATGGCGACCTTTTACCTGTCACAACTCTGAACTCTTCTGTTACCTACCAGTTTCCCCCAAATTTTTTTTCTTCTGATACAAGGTTTCTCTTTGTAGCCTTGGCTGTCCTTGAACTCTGATATCCACCTGCCTCTGCCTCAGGAGTATTGGGATTAAAGTCATGCACCACCGCACTCACTCATTCAAGCTAGTTATCTCAGTAATCTCAATGTGTATGAGCAGCTATATTAACACTAAGTGTTCCCCGTGATCAATAGCCCAGAATTTTACATTAGTAAGAAGAACCCCTGCCACTGATTACTGACAAAACAGAAGGTAACAAATAAAACTTACTCCAGATTAGCTGCCGACTGGCGGAAACACACATCACTGCACCTTTGTGAAACACAGAACGTGAGCTCACTAACTGCATCTCTTCCTAAGTGCTCGCATGAATTCAAGGACTCCAGTGCTTTTGAAATGGTAGAAGAACATTTAGTAAAGCTGAGAGCTTCTGCCGTTGCTTTTAATTCTTCAGATCTCTGAGGACCCCACCCATCTCTACTCTCAATACTAAACTCATCACAAAGTCCACTTTTAACCTTTCCGCTTGTCCAGCAAAAACGCTTTCTACCCAGTTCATTCTGTTCCCCTGCGTCTCTTAGAACGGCATCTAAGAAGGACATGTTCTCCATGAACTCAGCGAGAGAATTTAAACAGTGAGAAACGAGCACAAAACACTTCTTCTCTGCTGGTGTCTTAGGAGGTCGAGGCACAGAGTCAGATGTGAAACCTTTGTTATGTGTCTGTGTCTCTTGGTTGCCTTCTCTGTCTCTGCTTGTGAGGTCTTCTAAAGCTGAGGAAGGAACAGGAGATAAGCTAGTCAGTTCATCAGAAAAGTCCAGTCCGGTGTCAAATAAGTCACTGTCATCTAGGGTCACCATCTTTTTCTGCTTCCTTTTCTGTGATTTTTTTAATGACTGATCTTCTGACTTCATCCTAGGAAGATTGTCCATGCTTCCTGGTGCACTGGCCTCTGTAGTCACCGGAATGACTTCTGGAATGACAGTGACTGGCAATGGCAGGATGAATTCAAGATTACTATATAATAGATCTATGTTTTGAATGTGGAATTCAGTGAGGAGCTGGATGAATTTATGCCATTCTTCCTTGGTTGTGATCTTGTGCTGAAAAGCAATTTTGAATAAAGAGATGTTTTAAGAACCTAGTTTAGACATATTCCCACCCTTAGGAATACAAACTTGTCCCTATGTATCTCTATCTTTTATCTATTTTTTAAAAGATTTATTTATTTATTTTATGTATATGAGTGCTCTATTTGCATGTATGTCTGCAAAACCAGAAGAGAGCATTACCATGTGGCTGCTGGGAATTGAACTCAGGACCTCTGTAAGAGCAGCCAGTGCTCTTAACAGCTGAGCCATCTCTCCAGCCCTTCATACTTTTAAAGCTATGCCTATGCACCATTTATCAATACAATCAAATGAGTTAAAATCTCACATCTAACATCTAGAAAATGTTATGTATATTTTAAGTTGAACCAATATTCAAAACACAGGTATTATTGTATGGTGAAGCCTGGTAAGATAGATAGGAACATGAATTCAACATTTCACACAGATATGGAAAATACCTTTAAAAATGAAATTAAGTCTTGAGATGGGGAGGCAATGTTTTTGAGTCCAAACAAAGCCTCTGCACAGCCGGTGTCACATTTGGGGAGGGCTATACGGTTCCTTCTGCTATTTTTAGAGTTAATTTTTGGATCACTGCCATCTTCAGAGCAAACTGGTATATTTCTGCTATTTCCTTCTAAAAAATTAATAAAGACAAATCTTAGACGAATTTATCTTAAATGGACTGTATGAAAGAACACACAAATTCTGAAGACGTGCTTCTGCCTGATAACACCTGACCTTCACTCTATGTTGTTCTCCACACATGCGCTCACCTCATTACAGTATAGTCCATTACTTGAAAAATACTTAAGTGAAATGATTCAAACCTATCTTTTATTTATTTATTATTTGATGTTCCATTACTTGAAAAATACTTAAGTGAAATGATTCAAACCTATCTTTTATTTATTTATTATTTGATGTTTACACCAGGGCTTTATTGTTTAACTGAGGCAGGCCTCACATTTGCAACGTAGGCAAGAATAACCTTGAACTTTATTGTGTGTGTTTGGTGGCCAGACACATTTCAGGTGTCATTCCTTTGGTATCCAACCTTGAACATCTGACTCTACTGTCTGAGTGAAAGCGCCATCACATAATCTACCAGGACATTTTTCCCATGTTTTATTATCATATTGATCTTTTGAGAGCTTGTTAAAGTTGCCAGCTTACACTGAATAAAAAATATGGCTCGGTCTATTCTGAAAAACAATGTTTAAATTTTTAACTAATTAAAGAGAAAAAATGACAAGGAATTAATGTTTAAAATTTCATATTACTTTAAAATTTTTCTTTTATTGTCTATTCCCTTTGGTTTTATGTGACTATGTGCGCAGCAAATAGCCCAACAGAACTATGAGTGGAGAAGGGCACACACAAACTAGCAACTTCCCCTGGGAAGGAGCATGGCTGATGGGTCCTGAAAATAGAGGATCTGGAATGGAGAAAGTAACAATAATTGCTTGTGCCATTATCAGGTCACAACAATAACTGAAGAGTAGTAGAAACTAAAAGTATTCATGTGAGGAAAAAAAAATTTCTAAAATCAAGTTCTTAGGAAAATTAGAATTATAAACTATTCAATATAATACAAAGAAATACAAGCTGGGTGTGACTGCACATGCCTAGGCTATATGTGATCCTGTCTAAAAACAGGGCCAGTGAGAAGAACTTTTTGCTAAACTGACAACCTGAGTTCAGCGCCCCACCCCCACCTCCCAGCCAGGGTAGAAGAGAACTGACTGCTACATGTTGTCCTCTGATCTCCACACCACCAATAAATAAATAAATGTGTACATGTAATTTAAAAGATAAAAACAGAGCTGGATGGCGGTGGAACACATCTTTAATCTCAGCACTAGGGAGGCAGAGGCAGGCAGATCTCTGTGAGTTGTAGGCCAGCAGAGTCTACAAAGTGAGTTCCAGGACAGCTAGGGCTACACAAAGAAAACCTGTCTTGCAAAACCAAAACAAACAAACAAGTAAATAAATAAAATAAAAAAGCAAGCTGGTGGTGGCAGCAGTGCGCACCTTTAATCCCAGCACTCAGGAGGCAGAGGCAGGCGGATCTCTGTGAGTTCAAGCCAGCATGGTCTACAAAGCAGGTTCCAGAAAATCCAGGGCTGTTATACAGAGAAACCCTGCCTTGAAAAACCAAATAAATAAAAATAAAATACAATACAATAAAAACCAAAACAAAGGGCTAGAGAGATGGCTCAGTAGGTAAAGTGCTTGCAAGCATGAGGACCTAAGTTTCTAAGTCCAGCACACACATTAAAAAACCTCTAGGGGAGATTGAAGAAATCACAGGTGCATGCAAACATGCATATTCCACTCTCACAGACAAAAGATACAAATAACCCCCGCCTCAGGAATTTACACTTAAATACAATCACAAAAAAA